TGATCAAGTAAAGATATATGGTATAAACATTAAATTGACAAGTACAATAACACCACAAGAAGTTATAGCTAATAAACCAACAAAGGCGATAAAAGAAAAGCATATAGAATAATCCAAAAGAAGGCAGAAGGAAAAAATAAATTTAAAAAATAGAACATACAGGAAAGAGACAGTAAGATGGTATATTTAAATTCTATCATTAATATTTCTAAATATAAATTACTTAAATGCTCCAATTAAAAGGCAGGCAGGGATTGTAAATGCTTCACTGAGTAAGGCATTTATAACTTAGTCTAAAAACAAAAATCAGTGGTTGTTAACTAAACAAAGTGTGTCTCTCTGGTGGGAGGTGCCATGCTTTGGCACTCTAGTAAGGCACGTCAGAGCATAAGTAGAGTGTTGATGGGTTGTGAAGCCCCAAAGTGAGGAGGGGAGTGCCGAAGGGAAGTTGAATGTAGGATGTTAGAGTCCAAGTGGGGTCAGTAAAATTTCCATATATGAGAGTGACAGTGGTGGGACAGCGTGGGGTGTCATAGGCTAAGCATGGTTAAGAGGGCTTGGTGGGTGTGTGGTGATATGTGGTGTTGACATGCAGCCAAAGTGAGGAAGGCAACCAAATGGAGAGCTGTGGCACCACATAGGGCATCTGCACTGGAGTAGGCTAAGGATTGTGTTGATATAGCAACAGGATTAGTTAATAACATCTGAACTGGTCAATTAAATAAATGTATTCAGGCTAATGAAGGGCAGATTTCACATTGTTGGAGAAGAAAGAGAAAATTATAGAAAGGGAAAAAAGTAGCATGGATCCTATGGTGACTGAATTGAAGATTAGGTGAACATGTGGTTTTTAATGGATAAATGATATTGATAGATGGGTATAGATATAGATGTAGCCCAGCTCTGTCATATAAGAGGTCTGGGAAAAACTACACCTTCATGGTAATGAGCAAATATAGTTTCCAGATTTTTTCCTTCTGAATGTCATTACTAAGTGAGCCAGAACTCTTTGGAGAAATGGCTGATCCTGGCCCTTGGAAAGAGAAAGCACAAATGATGAAACCTACACAATTTCTTATTCTAGACATCAAGGTGGTGTACAAAAGACCATAGAGACACTTTGCAGAAGGCTGGTCAATACCTTTATCAAGTGATCAAAGTTATTACCACAAGTAGTAAAACAAATTGAAATCATATGCCATCTTCTATGCAATATAAAGATGAATATATACAGAACACATCAGTAGGGATCCCTGGGTGGCGCAGCGGTTTGGCGCCTGCCTTTGGCCCGGGGCGCGATCCTGGAGACCCGGGATCGAATCCCACGTCGGGCTCCCGGCGCATGGAGCCGGCTTCTCCCTCCGCCTGTGTCTCTGCCTCTCTCTCTCTCTCTGTGTGACTATCATAAATGAATAAAGAAATTGAAAAAAAAAAAAAAAAGAAATTAAAAAAAAAAAAAAAAAAAGAACACATCAGTAGTTTTGTGATATCCCTGCCAAAGATGACAACCTGATCATAGGAACTATTAGGGAAATCCAAATTGAGGAGCAGTTTACAGAATAAATGTCTTCCAATCCTCAAAAGTATTAAAAACCTAAGAGTCGAAGAAAGATTCAGGTAGTGTTCAGATTTTAGTTGAATAAAGAGAAACTAACCAAATGCAGCATGTGATTCGGGAGTGGAATTGTATGCGATAAAGGGCTTCAGTGGGACAACTGGGGAAAGTTATATGAAGTCTAGGAATTGCACATATGAAGTATCAATGTTCTTTTGCTGACTTTGGTTGACACAAGGACACATATTGCTGGTTGTATTGTGCATAAGGACATTAGAATAATACCCCTGCTTACAGGAAGTACTCTCGTGTTCAGTTCAAAGGAGACATCAGTTTAGCTGTTTATCTCAAATGCTTCAGCTCAAAAAATTATGTTTGCACTTTGTGTGCAACAATCTTGTATTTTTGAGATTTTTTTAAACAATGAAGGTTTAATAAAAAAAATGGTGTGCTAAGTTTTTACATATGTAGAAACAAAACTTTCTTGAAATTCTGAAAACTAAAAAGGTAAAAATAAAATAGGGATCATTTGAGGAAAATATTAGTATGTCAGTAGGATTTATATAGGGTAATATAAACATAAGATTTAATATAAGCAAGGCAGTATAGTATGAGGCATTTGAGGCACTGGGGGTGTCAGAGTCAGGGCTGACAAGGTTTCAGAAATCAGGAAGTTTAGAGAGCACCAGATACCACACTCTATAATATCAGTTGTCTATAGAACTCAAGTGGGCAATTGGTACAAGGATGTTCATATGCCTTTGGTCATCCTGTCTATCTGTAGCCTGGTGGACGTGCCTATTACGATACTGCAGCAGAAGCAACAGTAGTTTTTCTTTCTGCTCCATCTCACAAATTTTGTGTGAATGTTTCACATTGCTATTTCAAACCCAATAACATGCTGTGAGCGATTCTGGGAAATACAGTTCCCAGGCTTTCAACCCCTGATACTCAGAGTCCGTAGAAGGGGGAAGATGACACCTCACTAGCAGTAAATAACAGAACACACAATAGCATTACTATAAAAATATCTCATTTAATTAATTAGCCAATTAATTAAAATACCTCATTTAATTAATTATCAATTAATTGAAATAAATAAACCTCCAGTTGAAATCTGGTTGTAAGATATAAACAGAAAAGCCAGAGGAAAAATATAAATTAATAAAAATCACAAATACCTAGGGAGTGCTTCTTCAGATTCATGAAGCAATTAAATTTATGTACAGCTTTTTTATTTGTTTCATATTTTTCCTTTATTTTCAAAATATATGCAGAGTTTATTGCTTCTCCCCAAAACAATGTGGGATTTTTAGAAATCTTACTATTTAATTTTTTCCTACATCATGCTATTTCATGCACATTATTTGAAATGGCTTTTTCAACATGCATAACATAATTCATGTAAAATGTTTTTCTAAGTAGGTTCTCAGCAAATTGGAGAATACAGAAAATGAAAGAAAGAATAAGCATACATTAAATAAATGATTAAGTGTTATCATTGCACACCATGTAGGAGAAATTCTTGACCAAAAATTAGAAAAGGGGTTTGTCCTTCCCCCGGCCCTAAATTACTTAATTTGTTAATTTTACTTATTTTTCCCCTTTCTTTTTTTTTAATTTTTTTCAAAGTTTTATGTAAATTCCAATTAGTTAACATACAGTGTAACATTAGTTTCAGGAGTACAATATAGTGATTCAACAATTCCATAGATGACACAGTGCTCATCACAACACATGTGTGCAGCTTTTATAAGGAAGGATATGGGGGAGTCTGGGTAGTTCAATCAATTAAGTGTCTGCCTTCAGTTCAAGTCCCGATCCCAAGGTCCTGGGATCGAGCCTCACATCAGCTCCCTGCTTAGTGGAGAGTCAGCTTCTCCCTCTCCCTCTGCCCTCTGCCCCTCTGCCATTCATATGCTCTCTCTCACTCTTTTGCTAATAAATAAACAAAATATTTTTTTAAAGGAAGGATGTAGTGACTTGGGCAATCTCGTATATAAATGATAGCAGTAACTACTATGAATAAATTTAAGATAAGGCATTTACAAAATGTATAAAGTGGCTTAAAATATACAGTCTGAAACAGTAATTGCATTTATTGGACAGCAATTGAATTATTGGATTACTTTGAAAATCTCCAAGTCACAAGGATTTATGAATTTAATACCTCTTCTTTATTAAAGAATTGTAATCAATATAAAAGTCCAATAATAGGGAAATTCTTACACAAATTATGATAAATCCCTAAGTTGGAACATTATGTAACCATTAAAAATCACGATAAATTTCATAACATTTGTTTTAAAAAATATGGCAAAGAATGGTATCATCACAAAATATGTATATACAGAAGGAAAGACTGACAGATATTACTAATATTATATTTTCTTTCTTCTTTAGTCTATTTTGCAGATATTCTACAATGGGTTTATTGCAAATAAAATTTTTAAAAATAATATAAATATATTTTTTAAATATTTTATTTATTTATTCATGAGAGACAGAAAGAGAGAGAGAAGCAGAAGGAGTAGCAGCCTCCATGCAGGGAGCCTGACGCAGGACTCGATCCCAGGTCTCCAGGATCAGGCCCTGGGCTGAAGGCAGCATTAAGCCACTGAGCCACCCGGGCTGCCCCTAATACAAATATTTTTATATAAAAAGTTACCATAGCCCTTTTGAGAAACTAAAGATTGGTCAGGGGAGGAGATTTAGAAGCTCAGTTGTGGCTGGGATGTGGGGACAGGCAAAGCTCTGGGAGTACACAAGGGAAAGAAGAGGTTGAATAGAAGACTTTTTTCTATTAAAGATTTATTTATTCATGAGAGACATAGAGAGAAAGGCAGAGACATAGGCAGAGGGAGAAGCAGGCTCCATGTAGGAAGCCCAATGTGGGACTGAGCCAAAGGCAGACACTCAACTGCTGAGCTACCCAGGCGTCTTGAATAAGAGACTTGAGGAAGACACCACACTGTAGCTCTTGTCCTGTTGTAAATCCTTTCTGGATATCCTGATTTGAAACCAACGACAAAATACATAATACTGCATATACTGACTGTTGCACATCAACTCTGTAACCATTAATAATCCAACTGTAATGTATAAGTAGAATTTGTGTTTTACTATTTCATAACTTTTTTTTTCTAATTACCAAAGAGCACAATTTATTTCTATTTCAGTGACAAGGTCAAGGTCAATGAGCTAGGCCATCTGTCTACGGCTCTAGCAGTTAAATAAATGCCCGTACATAGATCATGAATGTCAAAAATTAGAGGAAAAAAACGTTGAATCCAGTATTGAGCCTTTGGAGGCTTTCCTTTGATCTGTACCAGCATTCTTACTTGCGATTTGGCAATCAGAACGGTTTCATGAGACCTGCAGGCCGTCCGCACGCCTCCTGGCGATGCGGGTGGGTGCTGGCCCTCGCTCTCCTCCCCGCGTCCCCATGGAGAAGACGGAGCTGATCCAGAAGGCGAAGCCGGCCCTGGCCGAGCAGGCCGAGTGCTACGACGACTCGGCCACCTGCGTGAAGGCCGTGACGGAGCAGGCCGCCGAGCTGTCCAACGAGGAGCGCAACCTGCTCCCCGTGGCCTACAAGAACGTGGTCGGGGGCCGCAGGTCCGCCTGGCGGGTCAGCTCGAGCATCCAGCAGAAAACCGACACCTCGGACAAGAAGTTGCAGCTGATTAAGGACTGTCGGGAGAAAGTGGAGTCCGAGCTGAGGTCCATCGGCACCACGGTGCTGGAATTGTTGGATCAGTATTTGATAGCCAAAGCAACTAATCCAGAGAGTAAGGTCTTCTATCCGAAAATGAAGGGAGATTATTTTCGGTACCTTGCTGAAGTTGCGAGGGGTGATGATCGAAAACAAACGATAGATAATTCCCAAGGAGCTTACCAAGAGGCTTTTGATATAAGCAAAAAAGAGTTGCAACTCACACACCCCATCTGCCTGGGGCTGGCTCTTAACTTTTCTGTATTTTACTACGAGATCCTTAGTAACCCAGAGCTTGCCTGCACTCTGGCTAAAACAGCTTTTGATGAGGCCATTGCAGAACTTGATACACTGAATGAAGATTTCATACAAAGACAGCACCCTCATCATGCAGTTGCTTAGAGACAACCTAACACGGACATCAGACAGTGCAGGAGAAGAATGTGATGCAGCAGAAGGGGCAGAAAACTAAATGCATACAGACAGGGTGGCCATCCTTCTTCCCCTCGAGAAACCTTTTTACTCATCTCCATTCTTTATTCCATTTGGATTTCCTATAGCAAAGAAACCCATTCATGTGTGTGGAATCAACTGTTTATAGTCTTTTCACACCACAGCTTTGGGAAAACTCCATTCCTTGATTTGTGTTTGTCTTGGCCTTCCTGGTGTGCAGTTTCTGCTGTAGAAAAGTATTAATAGCTTCATTTCATATAAACATAAGTAACTTCCAAACACTTATGTAGAGGACTAAAAATGTATCTGGTATTTAAGTAATCTGAACCAGTTCTGCAAGTTATTGTGTTTAAAGTGTTCCATATAACTTCTTAATTTCTACATTCCCTCCCCTACTCTTCTTCGGGGGTTTCCTTTCAGTAAGCAACTTTTCATGCTCTTAATGTATTCCTTTATGGTAAGAATCCAGAAGTATTAGATTGAGTGGAAAAGCGTTTGGCATTTCTGCGCTGGGGGTCACAAATTGAAATGCCTCCCGTATCATACATGATGGAGGTCTTGTGTATCTGTGACAACAGGAAGTTTCCTTACTCATTCTTCATTTGCTGCTGTTTAAGTTGACAACTTCCCTTCCCAATAAAAATTCACTTACACCTCCTGCCTTTGTGAATACCTCCTGGTATTCACTTTACTATGTAATAGAAGTAGCATGTTGCTGCCAGAATACAAGCATTGCTTTTGGCAAATTAAAGTGCATGTCATTTCTTACTACACTAGAATGGGGAAATAAAGTACACAAGTCCAAGTCTAAAACGTTAGTACTTTTCCATGCAGATGTGTACACATGTGAGAGGGTGTCCAGTTTGTCTAGTCATTGTCATGTAGACACTATTGTGTGTTGCTAATCATTGACTGTAGTCCCAAAAAAGTCTTGTGAAAATGTTATGCCCTATGTAACAGCAGAGTAACATAAAACTACATTTTATAAACCAAAAAAAAAAAAAAGTTTCATGAGGTACACACACACACACACACACACACACACACACACCTTTGTCAAAAGGGCTTCCATTATAAACAAAGGAAGTGTACCACAGCGAGCGCCATCTAAATAAAGGCCATGCCTATGAGTATCCGGATGAAGGGTACATGGTGCATGAGGTCTACTGCTGTAGTTTCAGGCAGTGTTCCCTTAAACAAATGCTGGTATTAGTGACCACGCTAATAAGGAAAGTCTTTCCTCTATGGCTTTGTCTCTATTACTTGGCTCTGCAAAGAGCTGGGTAGACAAGTCTTTAGTCCATATATTCAAAAATCTCCAGGTGGGGTCAAATGTATATCATTTCTAACTGTACCTGATAGAGGAGGTCATCAAGGTGTGAGCACCAGTTTACTCATAAGCTGAACCTGAGCAAATGGAAGCCCTTCCTCCACTTGTCTGGTAGTATGTATGTGTTCTGCAGGCCTTCCCCACACCCAGATGCTGCTCCAAAGATACATCCTGGAGATAAAAGTGTAGCATTGAGGCTCTCTGGACCAGGTACATTACTGAACATAGTTAAGGCCTCTGTATAAACTCTTAACTTGACAAGCAGGTGCAGAAACCCACTCATCTTGCAGCTGCCCCAAGCAAGCCTCCTTAGTAAGTTCCCTTGTTTATCAAACCTGCCACCTGCAAATCTGGAGAGGCCTGCCTCTGCCTCTGGTCTCTCTCTCTCTATGCTTGCTCCTTGAATGGTGCTGGTTTCAGGTTACAGCAGCAATCTTCCTCCTGGTCCCTCTCAATCTTGTTCCTCACACATAAGACTCATCTCTTCCTTCTGAACTTTTGAATTTTTGGCATTTACAGTCTGTCTATCATGAATTTTATTACCTGATTTTGCTCACATAAAATACTTTTAGGAGTAGAAAAAAGATGTTGCAATAGTCATATACGCCATCAGGACAGCTCTGCTATCTCAGACTAAATACTTCAGACAGTAGTGTGTTTGAGTGTATTTTCTGTGTTTTTGCTTTTGTTTGTAAAGCTGTTTGGGATACAACTAATTGTATGAATAAATTATAAAAACTCAAAATTGTAATTTTCCCTAAATAGAAAGTGCCACTGAGATATACAGTAATTATTGAACCATCTATGCACACTGTTCTAGGCCCTAGGTATAGAATGTTGAGTAAGACACAATTCCTATCTTCCTGAAGTTTAAAACCTAGTGAGATGAACTTATTAGTCAGCAGCTACTACTCGATCTGTGAGGCCGTGAATGGAGTTCTGTGGCAATACACAGGTAGATTTCCTAGAGACTTCTATCCCCTGCAGTAATTTTTAGATTAAGACCAGAAAGGACAGGATGTGAGTAATCCAAGAGAAGAGATAAGAGGACATTTTTATCAGGCAGGAGGAAAATAATGTATAAAAATTGAGAGTGAGAATAAATAAGAAAACTTTAAAAATATGTTTGCATGGTTGGAAAGGAAAGGATGAGGCATTAGTTGAAAAGATTAGATGTCCTGGTGAAATGCATCAGGGTTATTTACCCCAAGGATAATGGAAAACCATGTAAGAATACTAACCAGGGGAGTTATGTTGTCAGTTTTGATTAAGAAAGAAGGCGTACTAAATGGATAGAAGATTGAACAGCATGTATGAAATCAGAATTGCCCACATCACCAAGTGTTTGTCAAAATTTCTAAATCTGAGAGGGGAAGCAGGTGGAATTCAGTTAGGAATCAAATGCAAATGAGCTTCAAGTGACATCAGTTCTTTCCTTTGTCTTGCCCTTTCCCTTCCCATCAAAGTCTCTTCCCTCTATCAGGACACTAATTTTTGTGTGACCATCTTCCAATGGAGGGGAGGACAGTCAGTAATGCAACCCAGAAAGAAAGGAAGAATTAGACTCAAGGGAGAAAAACACTTTCTTAGCTGCCCATGAAAAGCCTGCATTTCCAGGAATAAAGAACATAATTTAGGTAAAATATGTTCCTTTTCTCAGAAGGAAGATCCATCCTGTTCCCTGTTTCCCTAACCATCCAGTTAAGGATATATCAATAGTCTTAATACACAGTCACATCAACAAGTCCTTACAAATATTTCACAAGCACTTGAAGACATAATTCCTATAATCTTCAATTTTATAATCTTGTCATTATCAGGGGAGGGGCAGATATGTGCAACAACAGGAGATACTTTTGAATATCATAGGCAGGATACAAGTAGAAAATAGAGAAATACTTGAAAAGATTAAAAACAGTGTCCCTCCTCATAATCAAACAATACTTCTTTCTTTTCTGGTCCATATGACAAATTACTTTTATTTTTTTAAAGATTGATTGAATAATTGATTGCTTTTTAGGGATTTTATTTATTTGAGAGGGAGAAAGAGAGTGAGCATGAGCAGGAAAGAAGAGCAGAGGGGAGTAAGAAGCAGACTCCCCACTGAGCAGGGAGCCCAACACAGAGCTCGACCCCAGGACCCTGAGATCATGACCTGAACTGAAATCGAGAGTCAAAAATATCTGAAATATTCAGATATAATGGGTAACTACTTTCTACTGAAAGTTAAATTTAAAATACTTCATAAAATGTAAAAGTACAAAGGTATGAAATGTGATAATAAGGAAGAAGTGCCATAGGGCAGGTGGCAGTACCCATTTCTCTATGTCCTATAAAAGGGAGCCTTAGCTAAATGATAACAAAGTATTTAGTGAAGATGCAAGGGTGCAAAGGGTTGCAATCAGTGGTCTTTGAATACCGTAACCCATTAATGAGAATATTTCTTTTGTGAAGTGGAATTGTTAGCTTGATGCCATTATACTTGTATTTATCTATTTTCTCTTATTTAATTCTGTTTTGACTGAGCAATTGTTTGATTTGAGTTTGGGCCAAATAAATAAAATGGTCTTGCTATATGAACACAAGCATTCTGTTTCTTATAAAAGTTATATTTCCCATGAGGAAGTTGATATTTTAGGTTTACATAATGGTCTCAAGCTTAGTAAACATCTCCACTGATAATGTGTGTGCCTTAAACGATGCCCCGAGTAGGGAACTAATGCTTTTATGGTTATAGACGTCTTTGAAAGCTATAACAAATAAAAATACATATACAGCAAAATAAAACTAGAACTTTTGTATTTGTTGAATATTTTGGCTACGATAGTTTTCTCCTTGATTCCCTGACCAGACAGCCTCTCACAGTGATGTTCTTATTACTGTATTCATACTTTTCCTATCACATTGCCTAAGTCATATATAAACTCATATATATTAAAATATATATAAACCCATATATATATCAGATACATTATATAATATATATAATATATTTAAGTCTTTAAGATTCAAGACTTAAAAGGACAGAGATAGGTTTTTTCTTGATCACTTTTATAACTCTTACCATGTAATCTTCAATTTTATAATCTTGTCATTACCGGGGGAGGGGCACCATGTAGGTGGATTGTGCCTGACACATAAGGTACCAAATAAACACTTGCTGAATAAATAATGAATTTTTACAAATCCTAGGATAGTATTTTTAACTTTCCAAGAGTAATTTTTATGTTTATGCACACACACAAAACAATGTGGTTAATAATGTGATTAATAAATATTTAATGATTGACCATGACATGCCAGAGACAGTGCAAGACATTGGAAATAATAGCAGTTGAGAGGGAGAGAGAGAGAATGAGGACCCTACCATCCCAAAGCTTATACTGCAGAAGGTAACAGATGGTTGATGGAACATCCCCAACTCTACTATGGAAGAGAGTACAGGCCAACACAAATTATTATAATATGGCCCTAATCTAATTTTGATCGCTAGGGAAGGCATCCCTGAGGAAAGATCCTTTAGACTGGCAAATAAGGAATAAATAGGAATTAGAAGAACTGGCTTTTCCCACAGAGGAGAGAGATGCTTAGGGGTTGGATGTGGGAGAGAAGAGAGTCTGTGAAGAACTGGGAGGATGAGGGGCCAGGACAAAATAATGAGCAAGAGAAAGTGAGGTGAGAGACAGCCAGGGTCCCAACTCTATAAAACCTCATAGGCTTTCTTAAAGAATTGAGACTTTGTCCTTAGAGTGTCCTCTTAAGCCAGAAAAAAAGGAGAGGGACAAGAAAAGACAGAAAACTTTCAGACAATAATTGCTCAATATAAGCTAAGCCTCATGGACATGACTATGGCTTCAACAGCACCGATGCCAGTCAAGGTCCAGCGGTTAGCCCAAACTTCTGTACTCAAAAGGATACAATAAGACATCCCAAACTCCCCAAGAAGTAATGTTAGAGAAGACCACATGGGGAGCTTGGATGTTCATTCCTGTCAGATTATAAA